CTCGCGACGTCCCGACGTCAACTTGGCTCTGCTTTCTCCATCTTTTCTACTACACAGTTATTTCTTTCATCTCTCCCTTCTTTTACTGAGATTGTTCCCATGACGGAGAGTTATGAAAATTTTGTTAAATCATTGGAGCTGCCTTCCACGGGATCCACTTTTGCCGCCTTCACTACCTTTCACAGTAGCAAATCTGCCTCTGCTCGTGGGGGTGGCCGTGCTTCTCATAGGGGTCGTCATCAACGCAACCGTCCTATTCGTTGTCAGATTTTTCGTAGGGAAAGGCATTACGCCACTTCTTGTCGTGACCGCTACTCCTATTCCTCAAATGCTACCAACCTTGTGAAGGCTTTTACCTCATGCACACTTAATGATAATCAGGCTTCTAATTGGTATACGGACACTGGAGCCATTATGCACATGACCAATGATGATACTCAGTTGGACAAGTCTGATACGTACACTGGTAAGGATCGTGTTATTATCGGTAATGGTGCCTCTCTTCCCATTTCTCACACCGGTACCCTCTCTCCAACCTCTTCCCTTACTTTAAAGGATGTCTTAGTTGTGTCTGCTTTAACCAAAAATCTCATTTCCATCAATAAACTTACCTCTGATTTCCCTTTTTCTATCACCTTTACTAATGACCGCTTTATTATACATAATCAAGTCACAAGAAAGGTGGTGGCAACCGGACGGCGTGAAGACGGTCTTTATGTGCTTGAGCGTGGACATCAATCTTTAATTTATGTTTTCTCTAATAATTGTCCTCGAGCTTCATTCAATGTTTGGCATGCTCGTTTGGGTCTTGTGTCTCACTCTATTATTTCTCTTTTGAATAAAAATCATTAATTATGTGTGACTTCTTTGCTTCCTACTCCCACTATTTATTCTAGTTGTTAACTTGCAAAAAGTCAGACTTCCATTTCAACATAATGACAAACGGACATCTCATGTTTTGGATCTTATTCATTGTGATTTATGGGGTCCATCTCCCGTTCCGTCCAATTTGGGTTATAAATATTATGTCATTTTTGTTGATGATCATTCCCAATTTACATGGCTCTATCCTTTGAAGTTTAAATTCGATTTTTATCGCATTTTTCTTCAATTTTAGAAATTTGTGGAAAATCAGTTTTCAATTAAAATCAAAGTATTTCAAAGTGATAGAGGCACTGAATTTACCTATCATAATTTTTGGGATCATTTACTAAACAGTGTCATTCATTATCAAATGTCTTGTCCTTATACATCGGCCCAAAACGACCGTGCAAGCGCAAACATCGTCATATAACTGAAACTAATTTAATGATGCTCTTTCACTCACATGTCCCTCTGAAATTTTGGCTTGATGCCTTTAGCATGGTTGCTTTCACCATTAATCGGTTGCTCATGCCTACTCTTGATGGCTTGTCTCCTTTTGAGCTTCTGTATGGTAAGTCTCCCATTTATTCTAATTTTCATCCTTTTGGTTGCCTTGCATTTCCATGCTCACGCGATTCTGCTTCTCACAAATTAGCCCCTCGCCGTCGTCCATGTGTTTTTCTTAGCTATAATATGTCTCACAATGGCTTTTGTTGTCTTGATCGTTCCACTAATCATGTCTTTATTTCCAAGCATGCTATTTTTTATGAACTTAATTACCCTTTTAAGGAACTCCTTGCTCTAGGCCTTTGCCTAACTCTCCTATTAGTGCATTTCTTGAGCCTTCTACCATCCCAGTGGCCGAATTACCGACTCAGCCCGATCCCATACCACGTCCGTGTGGTTCTTGCTTAACTGACCCATCTGCTAGTTTTGTGCCTCTTTCTGTTTTATAGGCACCTGATGTTGAGCCCACTATCCTTTGGTGCATGAGCCTTTGCATGCCTCAACTCTCATGCCCGCTGACCTAGATCCTGTCACCAACGTATCCTCCCTTACAGCCTCGAGCTGTCCTCCTCTAATTGGCACTCATCCGATGCAGACTCGAGCTAAATCAGGAATTTTCAAGCCTGTCCATCGATCCCATGTGTGCACAGTTCCTCACTCTGGCCTATTCCACTCTCTTCTTACCATGCGCGAGCCCAAAGGCTTCAAGTCTGCTGCCAAACATCTCGGTTGGATTGTTGCCATGGATGAAAAAATTCAGGCCCTTCATAAGAATCATACATGGGATCTAGTACCTAAACCGTCCAACAAAAATGTTGTGGGCTCCATATGGGTTTTCCGCATCAAATATCTATCTGATGGCACTGTGAATCGTCTTAAGGCTCATCTTGTTGCAAAGGGCTATACACAACAACCGGGCCTCGACTTCACTAATACTTTTAGTCTTGTTGTCAAGGCTTCCACAGTCCGAGTTGTTTTATCCCTCGCTGTCTCTAATAATTGGCCTTTTCGGCAACTTGATGTCAAAAATGCATTTTTTAATGGTCTTTTACAGGAAGAGGTTTATATAGCTCAACCGTCTGGATATGTTGATCCTAAATATTCCACACATGTTTGTCGGCTTCACCGGGCTCTCTATGGTCTCAAGCAAGCTCCACGTGCTTGGTTACATCGCTTTAGCTCTTTTCTCTTGGCTATTGGCTTCAGTCGTGCTGACTCATCTTTATTTGTTCTCTCTAAGGGTGCTGACTTAATCTATTTATAACTCTATGTTGACGACATTGTCGTGACTAGCAGCAATTCGACACTCCTCAATGGATTTATTGGCAAGCTGACTCGTGAATTTGCCACCAAGGACCTTGGATCTTTGAACTATTTTTTGGGCTTGGAAGCTCATCGCACGTCTACTGGTCTTTTTCTTAGCCAAGCCAAGTACGCCCATGAGATCTTATAGCGTGCACAGTTAGTTGACTCCAAACTGGTGGGTACTCCCATGGTTGTTGCTTAGCACCTTTCCACGGTTGGCCTAGATTTTGATGATCCATCCCTCTACCAGTCGCTCGTAGGTGCCCTTCAATATCTCACAATCACTCGTCTGGATATTGGTCACGCTATAAGTGTTGTCAGTCAGTTCATGCATAAGCCGTCTATTTTTCATTTTCAGGCTGTTAAAAGGATACTATGCTACGTTAAGGGGACTCTTCAGTTTGGTTTATCTTTCACTCCATCTTCTTCTAGAGAACTCATTGCTTATTCAGATGCCAAGTGGGTTAGGTGTCCTGATACGCGTCGCTCAATTTCTAGTTATGCCGTTTATTTTGGTGGTAATCTAGTGTCCTAGAGTTCCAAGAAGCAACCAACAGTTTCCCAGTCCAACTGTGAATCTGAATATCGGGCATTGGCCCTCACTGCCGCTGAGGTTAAGTGGCTGCGACATCTTCTTCGGGATCTTCATGTGTCTTCTCCATCTCCTCCGATCATGCTTTGTGATAATCAAAGCTCCATTTTTCTCGCTGTCAATCCAGTCTCTCATAAGCGTTCTAAGCACATTGATTTGGATTATCATTTTGTGAGAGAACTGATGGCCTCCGGAGAACTCAAGATTCGTTATGTCCTCACTCACTTACAAATTGCCGACATGTTCACCAAAAGTCTCGGTCGACCTACCTTCATATTTTTAAGTTCCAAGCTTCGCATCTTTGATTCCGAGACACTAGGCTTGCGAGGGGTTATTATGGATATAGAAGGATCCGCAAGATCCTCCTCAAATCATGTTGCATCTTTTATCAAAACCCAATCCCATGATTCTAGGCAATCTCTTGATTATAGACAATAGTTATAGATGGAAATGTTGACTTTGTACGTAAATCATCTTGTTGTAATATTGCTCTGTATATTTTATAAATGAGACGTGCACCACCAGACAACTTCAAGGTGGTTTTTCAAACATTGTCAGAGGAGAATCAAAGTCATTGTAGAATTGAGTGATTAGATTTGGCAACTTCACCACACTAATTGAATGGAGATTAATGTTTTTCTCAATCATCCAAATGAGCAACAAGTTATGTATGCTTTAACTGAAGAATAAATCATTTCTACAATTAAACACTAAGAGAAATGAAATAATCATGAGGACGATAGTACGGAAATACAAAAAATTTCGTACTAAGAAGCTTTAAATATACTTGAAAAACTAGAATATTTTGGCTTCAACAAGAAAATGTTTATGCTAGCGAGTAATGTACCCACAAGTTAAAAGATGTGGTAACAACTCTAAAGCATAAATCATTATCCCAAACAACTTTAGATAAATATTTTATTTTATCTTAAACCTTTAATGTAACGTAACATATATTTTTTTTTTTTTGCATTATACAAATAATTGTTATTATTTGGAGGCAACTTTCCTTAAGACGGGAATTAAAAAAATTATAACTTATTACAATATGAAGTTTATTCTTATTTATAGCTATCTCAAATTAGGAATATAATTTTTTATGACTATATAGAATTTATTCTTATATAGAGTTTACTATATAGAGGTTTTACTATAATAGAATATTCTCAAAATATATCTAGATTCCATAAAAGTCATAGGCTTGGGATTGTATTGTTGGGAAGGACTATCGCGTCGAGCTATGCATACTCTTAAGAAGAACATGATAAATTTGAGATAAGGTTAAATTAATTTCTATTAGCTGGTCCGTATCTCCTGGATTTATACCACTAATACGACTACGTATTGCATCATGATTCCATCATATTAAAGAGTTTTCACAAAACCTTTTTCGAGATAATGAAATGGTGGAAACTAAGCCAGATTCAATCGGACGATCATGATGAAAGGAGCAGGAAGAGAGAAGTTGAGCGTGCACGCACCGTATTCCTTTCACCGTAAAAAAAAAAAAAAAATTTGTCTCACTCACTCACGGCGTTTCACTGTAGGAGTGTAGGGTATGGAAAAGGGGAGGAAAGGCAGAAAACCGAAATTCTCGATTGTCTCACAGATGCAATACGGTGCGCGTGGGCCATAAACTCGCCCATACCAAATCTCTCATTTATGGCAACATATTTTATTATTTTATATTACTTCTGTTTCTGTATTGCCCACTTTTTCCTCTCTCTCATGTTCTGTTTCATGAACCTATTTATTTTTTTTCCTTCTTTTATTTCATCATCTTCTTCTCTCTTAACTAAAATAACTCCAAAAAAAGTGTTGTTTTGGTTCGGTTTTTGGTGAGTCATGAGCCAAGCGGAGGAGAGGTGTTCAGGAAGGGACTCAATGTTCTCGGGTTTGTGTTATGTTATCTCCATTTTTGTTTACTTAACTTTCCTTTGATCTGGGTAACTGGGTTCAGGTTAAAACAACTTTTTTTTCCTTAATGGTGCTGTTTTATCTGCTTTTAGTGTTGTTATGGACAATGTCTGTCATATTAAGCCTTTTAACACCTGGGTTTGCTTTTTTTGTAGCCTTTCTTCCTCGTGTAGTCTTGTTCCCTTTTAAAGAACTGTTTTTTTTTTGGTTTTTTTCATTTTGGTCATTACGGCTTTATATGTTAAAAAGCTAGAAATGGCAATGTATGTTGGATAGTGATTTTGTATATGGATATACAATGTAGAAATGTATAAAGTTTTTTGTTTGGTTTGGGTTCTGCATGGTTTGGTGGTGAAATCCTTTAGGGTATAAGCGTTGCTATTGGTCTTAGGTATTACTGAGAATATGCATCCTTCTTTATCATCAAGGATTGTCATTAACTTTTGGAATGTGACTCGTGATTTCACATGATGTCTATATGCATTTATGTCTCGGTGGTGGATGAGCATGATTAGTGAAGCAGAGTTTTTGGTGATTGTGAATTGACTACTGAGCGCTGTGGAGGTTAGAATGTTGAAGGGGGACCAATGGCATGACCATGAAAGTCATAGATGGAGATATATCCTTCCAGCCACTAGTAATTTTGTGCTGGGGAAAAATCTTTTCAAAATTACTAGAGTATATGAATCTTATAAGTAAGAAAATCATAAAGTTTTCAGGGTAGACATGATTGTGGGAATAGTATCAATGAGATCACCTCTGTGACAGTTTGATCGGGTTTGTGCTGTGAAGATTTCATTGTAACGATAAAACATGTCATCATGGATTCAGTTCTTTCTTTCAATATTTCTTTTTGGAATCGTTAGTCACAATTTTCAGCACAGTGGTTACTGTTAATCTTTTTGAAATATCTAAAACTTCATAAGATACTGCAGCTATACTCTATTAGATTCCTTTTGCTTGAATATGGTGCAAGTGTGTGATTCAGGTTTTAATGTGAAGAAATGTGTAATTCATTGATGAGTTAATCTCTTAATCCATTCTAGTATAGGTCTCTGGGGTTCTTGTTTCCACCTTGTTGTGTTGCTTGCATTCCATCAGCCACTAATTGAAGTTTGCAGTCCAAAAGTTTTTTGAACTTTAGCACGTTGGTCCTACATGGTTCTGTTTACAAACTTTTTTAGTGAATGCTCAACTTTACTAAATGTGCTCATAGGTATCTGGAGTACAAACTTTGGCAATTAATTTATTGATTTGTTGTTTTCAGGATTTGTACTTGATCCAGAGAAATGCAGTCAACTTACTTTGGGAGAGAAAAGAGAGCTAGTTTATGAGATTGCCCAATGGTCGAAAAATGCCTCAGAGATTCTTAGCTCATTTAGCCGCAGGGAGCTTCTTGAAATCATCTGTGCGGAGATGGGTAAGGAAAGAAAGTACAGTGGCTACACTAAATTTCGAATGATAGAGCACCTTCTGAAGTTAGTTTCTCAGAATTCCCAGAGGAATAACACAGATAACATTCCTGCCTCTTGGGCCAAAACTCAAACTGGATTCAAGAGGAAACGGCAGGAAGAATCCTTGACTAAACAATTAAATGACCTAAACCAGGTTACTCTAGAATGTGGTAAACCGAAGAATGTTAAAAATAAAGTGTGTCAGAATGTTGCCTGCAGAGCGGCATTGAGTTTGACTGATGATTTGTGCAAAAGATGCTCTTGTTGTATTTGTCATCAGTATGATGATAACAAGGATCCTAGCTTGTGGTTGATCTGTGGCTCTGATTCCTGTAATGATAATGAATCATGTGGAATGTCCTGCCATTTAGAATGTGCTTTGGAGGATAAAAGAGCTGGTGTTAAGATCGGTTGTTCAACGAAGTTGGATGGAAGTTTCTACTGTGTTTCTTGTGGGAAAGTTAACGGTTTACTGAGGTAAAAAACTTTTTCTTCAGCACATAAGAGAAGTTCTATTTTATCATTCTTTAAATGCATATATACTACATAAATATTTGATAGTGTGTAGCTAATCATTATAGCCAAACCTAAATAACACTAATAGTTATTTGAAAATATTTGTGTCTAGAAACACTGGGACAAATTCACACATGCACGCATACACCTTGCATACACCTTATAATTGTTGTTCCAGTGGTAGTTTGTAGTGTCTCTTTGGATACTCCCGGGGTAATACTGTGAAAGCAAAGTATGTGTTTGTATTTGAAAAAAAAGACAGGAGGAAAAATTTGCAGGGACAATTATCTGTGTGTGCATGTAAATGTAGATTTGCATTCAGGAATCTTGTAATTCAAGATTCATCTCCTCAACATGTATGAAAAGGCTGTTAGATACATGTGCATGTTAGTCGCCTTGATTAAAAGTGTCCCTTCCATTTTAGGCTTTCATTCTATGGTTCTCTAACTTATTGTCAAGGAACTAGTTTATCAGCGGCACTTTAAGCTTAGATATATGCAATTGCCTTCATTTATATTATGTTTCTATGTCATAAAACATCACATATCTTGGTTTTACATGAGCGTAATCTCAAGATGTGGCCCAATTGAGCTCGACTTGGACACAGAAGAATTTGATGCTGTTAGACTGATCATGGCATTTTTCCTTTTTTAAGAAATTAAAAAGGAAAAAAAAATGAAAACCTAACCGGTCATGTAAAGAAAGAAGAGGAAAGAACTTGCTAACTAAGTGGTTAGTCATTTACAGAACCTGGAGAAAGCAAATGTTGATTGCCAAAGAGACCAGAAGAGTGGATGTTCTGTGTCGACGAATCTCTTTGAGTCACAAGATTCTTTTAGGAACTGAGAAATACCAAAGGTTGCTGAAAATAGTGGAGACTGCCTTACAGACACTGAAAAATGAAGTGGGACCTCTGAACCTGTTATGCACAAAGATGGCCCGTGGTATTGTCAACAGGCTGTCATGTGGTGCTGAGGTTCAGAAATTGTGTGCTTCTGCAGTGGACGCTTTTGGTTCCCTACTTGTTATTGATCCTTATCCAGCTCAGATAGAAAAGAAGCCACTGCGTAAGTTTCTTAACACGCTTTATAATTTGAAGTTCAATCTGTGAAGTGTCTACATCTCAAGGTGGCACAAAAATTATTTGTGTCGACATTACTATATCTGGACGCTTTAGTTTCGTAAATAATTGTCGTCATAGTTGTGGGGGAATACAGAGACTCAATCTTAATTGGTCCTCTGAGAAAGTCTTCCAGATGTTGTAAAACAATCTTGTTCCCTTCTTTTTTCACATGTATTGCTTATTGTTTTAATTTTTCTTTTGGAAGCTTGCTTGATCCGGTTTGAAGAATCCTCCGCAACCTCAGTCGTCATTGCACTGGAATACAAGGATCATCTAATAAAAAACTTCGCAGGCTGCAGGCTGTGGCATCGTAAGTCAAATATGAAGGATTATCCAGAACACCCTACTTTCATTGTACTCAGGCCAGAGAAGAGATTCTCACTAACAGATCTTGATCCTTCGACTGAATATTTCTGCAAGGTTTCTCTGTTCAAAAGCACTGGAATTTTTGGTGTTTGGGAAGCTAAATGGATCACACCTGCATCAAATGGAAGCTCTGTTCCAAAGTTAGAAGAATATAGAAAGGCTGAAAATACTACAATAGCTCAGATCCATTCTCAAGTGGAATCAATTAATTCTAGCAATACTAAATTAGCTTCCAGTGAGCCCTTTGTAAAGCGTCCACCTTCACTGGCTGACATCAAGAAGAACAAAGATGAGGGGCTCTATTTGCCGCCTCCTCTACTGAGCCCCAAACTAATTTCTCCTTCCACACCTTGTAAATGTGATGGAATGCGGAACGTACCAGGCTTGGGTTGTGAAAGGAGAATGGAAGAGAGTGATTACGAATATTCTGTTAGAGTAGTGAAATTGTTAGAGCAAGAAGGGCACATAGATGAATATTTCAGAGTAAAGTTTCTCACTTGGTTCAGCCTTAAAGCAACGATGCAGGAGAGGAGGGTGGTCAGTGTTTTCGTTGATGCTCTTATTGATGACCCACCAAGCTTGGCTGGGCAACTCGTCCACACCTTCAAGGATGAGATTTGTCGTGAGCAGAAACCTGTTCATGGGAATGGTTTCTGTACCAAGTTGTGGCATTAAGGAGTCGGATTCACATAGTTGACTAGTTCTTTACTCAAAAGTTAAATATGAAGCTCCTTAGATTTTGTTTTCATATAATATCATTCGCATGGCAGATTGACTAACCTAAGTTAATTGTTTTTGTTTGGTTGTCTCATAGCTGAGTGCATAAATCTAATTCAAAGGTCTAAGATCTTGAATGGAACCACTGAAAAGAGTTAGTTAATTATTCGACATCCATAAAACTTTGTAATGCGGAATTGCATAAAATGAACAGATTGATAGACATTTGAATCAGATCAGGGACAACTTCCTCTGCTCGTTGGAGTTCTTTGTTGTTGCTATTTCAAACTAAATAAACATAGATGTACCAGAGTAAAACAGTTTCCAACATTCTATGCCGTCATAAACAAAATAATGTACATATACATATAATAATCAAATAAAGGCATGTCTAAATTTTGTGATCTCTATTGGAATTTGCACTTATGCATAATTATATTAAGATTTGCTCCATTGGACTCTGATAAAACTGTCATGTACTGGGTGAATCATTAACAGCTTCATTAAATGAGGCAGCGAGGTATTCTGCAAGGCTCTGCTGCGAACTAGATTTATTTGAAGCTTCTGAAACTCTTGGTTTTTTCATGCTAATGGATTTTGGAAGCCAGGAATTTGAAGATCCAGGGCCTTTCAAACTTCTATTCTTCCATATAAGGGGTTGCACTTGCTGCCATGGGTCTTCATCCATGGACTTGTGGTAGAAGATCTGTGGCCCCTGTCTTCCTTCTGGTCCTGAGCCACGAGAATGAAAACCTTGCCCTCTTGCACCACTCTGCCCCAAACCTGAGTTTGTGCCGCTGCCATTCCATCGGCTCCTACCTCTTCCTGAACTCGGACCAGGACTGCCTCCACGCCCTAAACCAGGGTTTGGACCGCGGCCATACCACTGTGGCCTTCCTTGACCATAATTGATATTAGGACTTCTTACTGGTCCAAAGCCAGGGCTGAACGGCTGACCACCTCTTGATGCGCTAGATGGAGAATTATAGATGGCTGTGCCTCCGGAACCATTCCAGGCCTCAGGAGTTCCTTGATGCATCACAGGAAAAGGATTGATCAGTCCTCTTGGGTTTCTTTGGCCATGGGGCCCAGAGCTGTAATAGCCAGTTGTGGCATTCGATCCATTCCAAGCTTCAGGAGTTCCTTGTTGAGTTGCCATTCCTCTTGGGCTTCCATAGCCAGCAGCATTGTTATAAGGACCTTGTGCTTGATACATTCTCTGATCAAATGAAGAATTACTTTGCAATTGATGAGCAGGAGAGGGTCTCATCTCAGGGTTTCTTGGTCCTGATAAATCAGAATAAAAAAGTTCAATGAACTAAAAATAAAATGAAGGCTACTGAAATGAAAATTCATGTGATTGATTAAAACCAAAGTGAAAACACAAACACAATCAAGATAAAGTAAATCAGACTACAAGAAACTTGAGTTAATTTCAACTAAAAACTTGAGCATGAATTTAAACAGCTAAACCATGTTTAGAAACAAGAGAGTCCAAAAAGAATGTTTGACAGATGTCTTCAATATAACAATATGAAGCCGCCCAAGTTAATAGTTCAGGCCACAAGAACCCGAGCAATTTAATAGGCTAACAAACACAAAGGACACAATAGATCAACACATGTAAGAATACATTATTAGAGAAAATTCAACCTGGAAGGGATGATGAAGGCTGTGGCATTGCAGACGCACTAAAACTAGGAGGTTTAAAGTAATATTGCGCAATCTGGTTATCTGGCTGCCCCCTCTTCTTGTTACAAGAAAATGCTGCCATAGGGTCTGTGTAATAGTCAAACCTTGGAGTCGCATAAGACTCCCCCTGTGCTGGTTGACTTGCAGACTTCTCAAGCAGTGGATTAGAAAGGGAATCAGGCACTGCAAAAGTCTCGACATTACTACAAACTTCAGCCTGTTCAGCCTCCATACGCATTGCTCTCAATCTTTCCCTTCTTTTCTCTGATTCCTCCATTTAACCTAGGAATCAAAACACAAGGTCACAATCCCATTATCATCGATGCAAAATCATACGGAATCATTGTCATCAAAAGTAATTTTAATTTCAAATTCAAAGCTTCAAATAATTACAAAACCAAGTTTCTCTCTCTTTTTTTTTTTTTTTTTTCTCAAAGAAAATTGTATAACCGCTAAACTATCAGTAACGGTAACAACAATCACCTCTAACAAGCTTGTAAAAACAAATTACAAATCCCCAACTATTAATACGTGAAATATTACAACCAAAAGTTGTATATAAACCCTAAATAAATGCAAACTGTTATTAAAGAGACTACTGGATGTACTTCTGAGAAATTTGAGAAAGGAAAAAGAATACAAAACCAGGAAGCTCACCGAAATTAGAAGACCGGATATCACGTGAAATTCAGCTGGTTCTGTATTTCGCTTGAAAATTTGAAATTTCGATTCCGTTTCACAATTGTGCCACCAAATTCCGTTTGTGTGAGAGAGAGAAAGCGCGAGCGAGGGAGGAGTAGAGATGAGATGGGCAAGGCACCTTATTGACGCTTACGGTGCCGTTTTGATAAATGCCGTGATTGCCCGAACCGTTTAACCGGGTCAATAGAACACGGAGCCCCCACATTAAATAAACCTATAGTCCTATACTAGGGCTTCTCAGCCACCTCATTTAAATTCCAAAGCTAGCCTCCACAGACTCACCGACACCGTTTGATCAACCTCTAACTATCTTCATCAAAACACTCATCCTACGGCTGTGATGACTTTCCTCTAGTATCTTCCGTACCCGCGAGTTCTCCTTCTCCAAAAGTACATTCAGAAGAACGCGAGCGACAGATTCGAGTGAACACTGAAACTATCTCCTCGTGTTTTAGAAAATTCGCCTCCTGTTTTCCTCTTCCGGAAAACAAAAAAAAAATAAAAATTAGCGAGTTTTTGTGGATAACTTTTATCTAAACTGCCAGAACTTAACCTAAACGACGCCGCTCCGTCTCGCTTTTCTCTAGCTAGCGGTTTCATCAGATACCAAACAGTTTCTACCTTCCTTGATCAATCAATCCACCATTACAAGAAGCAGGGAGCAACTTTCGAACCATGCCCACGAACGACGGTTTCTCAGGTGTGTCTTTAGTATTGCTAAAACATTGACGAGCCTTCGAGGAACCTTATTCTTTTTCTTTTTTAAATTTTCCTGTGTAGAAATTTATTTTGAGGGTTGTTGGTAGTTTTTTTTTTTGTACAAAATTATCGATTTGTTGGATATTTTGTTATTTAGAAGCTCTTTTTGTCGTTGTGCAATTAGAGATTTGTATATATTTTGTTAAGCTTTTCTGGAAGTTCATGTTGTAGAAGAGCTTTCTCTGTTATGTATTTCCTCCGCTGTATATTTTGATGATATTTGTGTGTGTTGATTATATTTGTGGAAATGATTTTTCTACTGAATAGAGGATTTTTCTCATTTTGGATATTACTTGAATGAATTGATTTCTGAATAAAATTATTGCTTTGTGTAACATATATGAAACTGATTGAGAATATTATTATTAGTGATTGATGTTAACTTATTTTGTGTTGTATGGCAGGTGTTTCGAATTGTTATGTATTCAAGAGCCGATTACAGGAATATGCTCAAAAATTGGGACTTCCTACGCCTGTTTATGAGACTACCAAGGAAGGCCCATCTCATGAGCCTTCATTCAGATCTTCCGTTGTTGTGGACGATGTCAGATACGATTCTTTGCCAGGTTTTTATAATCGTAAGGCAGCGGAGCAATCAGCTGCTGAAGTTGCACTTATGGAATTAGCAAAACTTGGTCAAGTGAATCATTCCATCTCTCAGCCTGTTGTAAGTCTATATATTTAATTTGTGGAATCCAATTAACAGCTGCATTTTTTTGTGGTATTCAAATTGAAAACACCCTTTATTCGAGCCTTAACAGCTTGTGGCTGCATTCTAGATATGTACGCCATATTTCTGAATGGTCGGATGCCTTCAGATTGAAATTTACTGACATCAAATGCTTACTTGTTTGAGATATCACATGCTTAACTTTGTTAAAATCATATACAATGGCTATATTTGATGTTTATCATATGCCTTTCTTTTCCTTCTGTTTCTTAAGGAAGCCAATAGTGTTTCTTTTTTGTCTTGAGTTACTGCTAACCTGCTTCATTGGATGTTGTTTCAGCATGAAACAGGTTTTTGCAAAAATCTACTTCAGGAATATGCACAAAAGATGAATTATGCTATTCCAATGTATCAGTGCCGAAAGGATGATGCACCAGGACGAGTGCCTCATTTTTCATGTACCGTTGAAATTGGAGGCATTCAGTATATTGGTGCTGCAGCAAGAACAAAGAAAGAAGCGGAGATCAAAGCTGCCAGAACTGCACTATTAGCCATCCAATCAAGTGCATCTGAGTTATGTGGCAATCCAGTTGGCAACTCTCAGTTAACTGTAATTCCCTGCAGGAAGAGGGGAACAGAGTCAGTTGATAAACCTGAGGTGGACGAGAATGTAAATGTTCCAAAGCCAAAGAAAGCTCGATTCAAAAAGAAAACGTTGAATAAGTTTTCTGGAGACAAAACAGGTCGTATCCAAGTTCAAGGTACCAGCAACATGGTTCTTAATGTGGCTGCTAATTTGGATGGATCACAAATGGGTCAAACTAATGCATCTGGGATTCAAGTTGTTGGTTCTTGGGCTATGTCTACAGAAGCAGCTAGGAATTTCCAAGGAGGGAGATTGGACATTGAACCAACTAAGGGGGAAACATTTGCTGGGAAAGATCCTTCCACTCAAAATGGGCATTCAACAGCCACAAGATGTAACCAGAGTGTTCATGAGGCAACTGGATATTCATCAGTTGTAAACTCTAACCAAAGTGGTTCTGAGGGTCTGAGTGGGGCAATGTCTTATGGAGATGCACCTGCTTTGGCGAAGGAGGAGAAAGAGCCTGGTGTGCAATCAACATTTGCAAATTCTAACGAAAACAGCGGTGAAGCTATAACCTTGGTAACATCTTTTTCTTAGGGTGATACAACTGTTTTGGCTAAGGAGGTAAATGAGACAACTAGAGTCGAGCAGGTGTCTCCACCAGTAATAACAATCCCATTCTGAGCCAGATGTAGTCTTCATGTTTCATTCCTGGGATAAAATAACAGGATGAAATAAATCAAGCAGATTTAGCTGGAGCAATAGTATCTCAATGAAATAGCTTTCCTCTTAATGCTTGAATTTTGTTTTGCAGTTAGGAAAGGTGATGGATGAGGGTGTATCCAGATATTGAAATGTAATAGGTTTTACGGGAGTTGATTGGCATCATGGACCATATATCTGAATATTAGACGTCATTTACTTGTTATCTTTTGTACGCTATATTGGCTTCATTCAGAACTGATTTCATTGGTTGTTTGGCCGTGTTGAACTTGAAAACTTCATTTACATTATACTTGCGTGGCATAATGGCGAAATTAATTTCATGCATTACGTCAACAAGTTTTTTACTTAGCATTTAAGCAATTTTCCGCCATGATTTTCTTTTGTGATTTATACAAATACCATTAAGAGTGCATTTGGTTCAAAAAATGTTAGATTATTGAGAATGTTGGATTATTAAAAAGTTAGATTACATTGAAGATTACTGAGAATCTTTAGGAAAATGTGTTTGGTTAGTTGGAATAAATTAGTGGGTATGTTTTATTAATATGTTTGGTTGGAAGGAATAAATTGGTGGGTATATTATTTAAATTATTGAATTGTCTTTTAATTAAATATTATTATTATATTATATTTTAATATTGATTATTATTTGGATTATTGTAACCCTTTTGCATTTAAAAACTTAGCAAAAACAATCCCATAATAAAAGTTTAAAAAATCAACAAAGCACCCCCACAATCCAACCACTGTCGGCCGTCGGCAACCACCGTCGGTAACCTAATGGCGCACGGAAGGCAAGAAATGGTCTCCGTGTGTCGTATGACCATTTTCGGTCAGAGATCTAGTCGGAAATGACTAGATCGTGACAGATCTATCTGTTGACGGCCATCAATGGCCATGTCTGTAGCCGTTAACGGCCATCAATTTGGTCTTCATCGGCTAAATCGTGACAGATCTGGTCATTAACGGCCAAATCGACAAATCTGGTCGTTGACAGCCAGATCTGTCACGATCTGGCCATTTTCGGCCAGATATTTGTCCGAAAATGGCTATATCGATACACGACGGCCATTTTCGGCCTTTCATGCTCCTTTACGACGGCGACTGGCCCTGGCGATTGTTGTCGGCGGCAGGTGGGTGAGGGTGGTGGCTTGGGTGGGTTGCAATTTGTTTTGAATTCAAAGGTAATTTTGTCAAAAAAGTTAATTAATTTGGATGAAATAGTAAAAACAATATTCATGTAAATAAATTTAAAAATAAGGGTATTATTGTCTTAAAATTTTATTAATAATGGATAAAATTATAACAAAAAAAAAAAAATATACTGTGGTAATCTTACAATACGTAAGAAAATAGAGGTAATCAGATTATCTCAAATATTACCAACAGTAACTATTATTAGTATTTAAAGATTATCGGAATCTTATATTACTTGACAACCAAACGTGATAATCAAGTAATATAAGATGACATAACTCAGGTATCTCTTATTACCCCTAACCAAACACCCCCCGACAATTTTCTAACGCCTAATCATAGCCTTAGAGTCTTGGACCATTTAAGATCAACTGAAGGGTATATAAGCCCATAGAGCCAGCCCCTTGGATCAATGTCACATTTGATGACATAAGTCACATAATAAAAAGAAAATAATCAGCCAGAAAGATAAAAGTAGAAGAGGCACAGTTAGCTCTATTCCGTTAAATATAACTGCAGAGACTTAACGGAGTCGGAGAGAAGGTCTTTGATAAAAGAAATGGAACATCCAAAGCGTTTTGGTTTTACTTCATCCTCATCCCTTAATTTCCTGGTCTCTGTATTTCTTCTGCAAACTGAAGATTGAAAATTAAAAAGAGAAAAATAAGAGGGAACCTCTTTGATTTGGGTCTCTCTACTCTACGAAAATGCACGGTAGACCTCGCAAGCCTTCGAAACCAGAAGATGAAGCAGCTTCAGCCGCCAAAGCTCAGAAACTTCGCGCCCTCCAATCTCAATTCCTCCACAATCATCACAACAACATGTAATTTTTTTTTTTTTTTTTAACTTTTCTCTCACTTTCTCTTCGATTCTCGCGATCCAAACATTTCTTTTTATTAATCTGTGGATTTTTTTAGTTACACTAAGGAAGCTGTAGACCTGAGCGCCAAGCTGCTGGAGATCAACCCGGAATCATACACGGCCTGGAACTATAGGAAGCTCGCTCTTGAGCACAACCTGAGTCAGTCCGAGTCCGATTCTGACTCGTTCAAATCACTTCTTGATGAAGAACTAATAGTGGTGCGTTTTTATAAATCAAGTTTTTACCTTGGATTTTATGTTTGGCTGCTTAGATGTAATAAGATAATATATGTTAGTAACTTAAATTAATAGAAAGCATGAAAAAAGAATCAATTTTCCTACTGAAAATGCATTGGTGAGATAAAAGGAAAGTTTTAGTATTAAATTTTCAATAAAATTTCATATAACTGTTTGTTTTTAGGTAAATTATGTGTTAGCATGATAATGAGTTTTGAATGTATTGTAAAGGTAGAGAATGCATTGAGGCAAAATTTTAAGTCTTATGGAGCGTGGCATCACAGGAAATGGGTTTTGAGCAAGGGGCATTCATCTGCAGATCATGAGTTGCGACTTTTGGATAAGTTCCAGAAGGCTGATTCTCGGAATTTTCATGCATGGAATTACCGGAGGTATAGATCTTGTTCTACTTCTTTATTTTTCATTTAAATTCGTGCATATTCAAAGTAATCATTTTTTTTTTTTTTTATTTGTTTGTGAATTATTTCCCAGATTTGTGGCAGCATTGATGAACAGATCAGAAGAGGATGAATTGAAGTATACAGAGGATATGATTAATAACAATTTTAGCAATTATTCTGCCTGGCACAACCGAAGGTATGACTGATGTTTACTAATTGCTTCTCAGTTGAAACAATCTGATGTTGTTTATAGTTATCACAGTGGGAAGTAATTACCATGCCAATATTTGCTGAATAAGATTTAATTGTATAACTGAAAGTTTCCGTGGCAAAGTCTTATCTTTAGATTTAAATTTGTCAACTAGGAAGTTGTACAAATAGTGGAATCTTCTTGAAGTCATCAACCTTCATGCTTGGTTTGATTAAGCTGTTATTATCATTGTTATAACTGTATGTTTTCTTATGAGAAATCAGCAACATGCATAATCACATGTTCATTGGTTTATAAGTATGGTTTTCTATGTTTCTCTGCTAGCTGAAAAGATATGAAACCATATATACCCTACTGTGGGGACTTTTGCAGTGTGCTCCTATCCAATTTGCTTAAGAAAAAGTCTGAAGGGTTTCAAAAAGAGAAAGTTTTACCAGAGGAATATGAATTTGTACACCAAGCTCTTTTCACGGACCCAGATGATCAAAGTGGGTGGTTTTATCATCTTTGGCTTCTTGATCAAACAGTCAAAGTTGATTCTCCCCTGCTTGTTTCTTCTTGGCCTGCTAATGGTTCTGATCTCGTTTTATCGGGAGATAGGCACCTGGGTGATTCTGCTTCTTCTCTGTTGACAAGCTTTCATTCAGATTCAAGGACATTTCCACTCATTCTTTATTTTAATCAAGCAGTTCATGGTGTAAACTCATCTACGGTAACAGTTGATTATGAATTTAACACAAGTAAAGATCTTATCTGGGAACCAATTTCAATAAATAACTCTCAGACTGCCCAAGTCTGGGTTACAAAGTTAAACTATCCCAATGTAGAGCTTCATGCCTTAAAAGAATATCAAGTTGAGGTTAGCCTTGGACATGATTGGGGAATCGTTTCTTCAAGTGGTTTTCACTATAGCCATCCTTCTTGTTACACATTTAAAGTATGTCTAAAGCTTGCTGAAACAGATCCCACGGAAGAGCTGGGTGGAGAGATAATTTCATGGAGAGATGAAAACTTTTGTATTTATAAAACAGATTCTCAGGAATCAAGCCCTGCTGTTTCATTAGATCAACTGAGTATCAAGAGTGACAACGACCTATCAGCTTCTGAGTGGCGAGTAGCGGCTATAGCCAATGAGATAGATCATTTCCGTGAACTGTTGTCACTAATAAACTGGTAAGCTGGATCCATTTGATAGTTAACTTTAAATTTTAAATAAAGCAACATTGCTGATCCTTTGTCCTAAATATGTTTTATCTTTGTAGTAAAATTGGGAAGCTTACACTTGCAAGATTGTTGATGGCTCATGATGCTATGATGCATTCATCTGGTAACAAAGTTGCCCATTTTGAAGAAGTTCTTGAACTATATAGTGACTTAATGAAGTTAGACCCATCACATATTCGATACTACAAGGAAGAACACAGTTTAGTTTCAATGCAGCAGGTGATTTTTCCATCTCTTCAACATTATCTGTTTAGAAAAGTGTTTATCCTTTAGCTTTAGCATTATTATTATGCTACATGTGCATGAGCTTTTTCTTTCAGTTATAATGAACGTCTGTATTCAAACTATTGGGACTTATATGGGATTCAATTGGGTCCTGTGAAGGATCAACATCTATGAACTCAAGGGAATATAATCCCTGTCTTTTTTAGCTTAAAAGTAGTTTAACTTTTTCTAAAATTGGAATGGAAAAAATTTGTGTATACTTGTTATCTCATCAACTTTTTCCTGCTGTTGGATTGGCCCCAATGAATTTACCTATCAATCAAAATAATAATGATAATAAAAAAAGTGAAGATTAGTCAAATAAATTCTTACAGATATGTTTATTTGAGTTCTGGAAACTTTTGGAAAAGTAACTAGTTAACTGCAATAATGGATTTGGCTAATGATAACATTAAACTCGTTGTCCATAAAACTTTTGTGTTGATTATATATTTTACATGAATGTGAACATATTCTCATATTCTCATATTTTGTTGATTCTACAGGTAACATCCAGCCAGGAATCTTTGCTGAGGCACTGCTTCTGTTATGAGGACTTGAATTGCTCATATATTGGAAATCCAATTTGTCTACGACTGAATAATTTATCATTATCACGAATAGGATCTTTTGAAAAATTATTGTGGGTCCGAATGCTAGACCTCAGCCACAATGATCTTTCATCAATTGAAGGTAAGCTACTTTCATTGCTGCTTTAGACCTTGGTTCTTGGGCTCGAGAGTGTTAAACTGATTTGTGTATATTTAACTCCATTTATATGTTCATTCCATTTAAATCCTTATTACGCCACTGAAAGTTGTTCCTTCTCTTTTATTGTGTTTTCTTGCCCATTTTAATGGTCTATGTTCTCATTTGATTGTCTCTAACTTCATGATTAAGTAATCCATTTACCTTAATTCAAAGAATCACTTCTCAAAAGTGGATTTCAATCTCTCTGTCTACAAGTTTGACCCATGAGGTCGGTCTTTTCTGTGTATTACCCACGAATGAAAATTTCTGCACTTGAATAGCTTAGTGAATCTAATAGAGTAGATCTTTCTGTGATTACAGATGTAGAACAGTACCATTATGTATCACTTAGATCTTTCAAGTGTATGATTCTGCATCTAGAATTCAGAAACTTTTGAATTAAACAGAGGATGATAAGTCTTATGTGAAGGTGTTGACTTGTAATCTGGTATTTCAAGGGTTCCTCTTGTTAGTTATCATAGTCAGGATAAACCACTGAAACTCTTAATTTCATGGTTTTTTAAATTATCTGATATAGGATGAAGTCATAACTGTCTGCTGTATGATTCATTTTAGCTCTTAACAACCTTCATCATATTGTTGACTTTTTTGGGGTTTTATGGCAGGTTTGGAGGCAATGCAGCTCCTCTCTTGCTTAAATTTGAGTAGCAATAAACTAGGTAGTTTTACTGCTCTGGAGCCTCTAAGACTGCTGAAATCATTGAGAGTTTTAAATATTTCATATAATGAGATTGGTGCACACTCCATTGACACAACGAGGTATCTGTGCTCTTCTCCATTATCTCACTCTATTGGAAACAAATGGAATCTCGGCGAAACTGCAATTGATGATGATATAAAAAATTATTGGGAGGCTTATTTTATTCTGAAAGGCTTGAAGTTGACACAATTAGATCTTTTGGGGAACGCAGTTGCTGATGAAACGTTTAAGCTGTTTGTCATCAAGGTTCTGCCAGCACTTAAGTGGCTAGATGGTGAAAAAATGTGTTGATTTCAGCTCATTCGTAGTGAGGTGGTTTTTTTTTTTTTTTTTTTTTTCAAGGGATAGAGGTGTCCATTGCTCAAAATGATACTCTTACACAGGATGCATGATTTTAAAAATATGTTGACATGAGCTGCACAATAGAAATTCAGCTCGCTTTACATGGATATGAATACTTTATTTATTTATATTTTGCTCTCTCTCTCTCTCTTTGTCTATTCTAGTCCTTTGGATTATCAACCTTGTACCCATTGGAAGATCTTCAGTTTTAGATGAAACCACTAAAGCTTGCAACATCACCACTGGTTTCCACACAGCAGCCATCATCAGCTTTGTTGTGATCTACGAATGCTGTTGGACCAACACAATCCTTGTCAATTGGAGTCAAAGCTAGGGAACATTTCTGGGATTTTCTGAGACTAAATTTTGGTCAGAGGGCATACTTATGCAAATGTTATGTCTGGTTAGGAGTAGAGTGGAGCTATCAAACGGATAAGAATATGAAAAGGAAGATTGTCGAGGCTGACACAGGTTAGTCACAATGACTTACGTAGTATTACTTACATAAACAGTCTTCTGACATGGATGAGATTGATCGAGTAAATGCAACCCAAAATAGCAAGGATGGTATAGAAGACACGGACTGTAGAATGGATAACAATCTAATCTGTAAAGATTTAGAAACGAAGAAATGGAGGAATTTGATCGTCAGGGTGATGAAGCCATCCCGAATCATTCTTGTCACAGTACCATAAAGTTGAACTGCACATCCAAGCAAACAAAGTTATTAGCTATAATGCTTGTAATTAGGAAGAGAATTTAGGACAAAAATATTATTACTAACCCAAACTTTGTCTAAAGTGGCCTCTGTTGTGTTCCTCCAACGACATGGCGATAAAAGTCAGAAACAGACCCCATAGGGTGGGATAAATTACAGCCTTAAACATGTTTACTTTTGATGCCATTAGCTTCTCGCTTTTCGCCTTGGACAGAAAGTGTTGTATAGTTGCCCGACAATTGCAATAAGACAAGAGTTTGTGTTTTTCGGAGGAGCTTAAAGCGCTCTTATATATAAAGCCTGGAAGTGAATGTGCGGAGTCTCCTGAGACTTTTTGGAATGGGTGGGCGAATCTTCCTGGTTGGTAAATCCTATGTTATGTATAGGGGCGTAATTTTCATCGCCTTTATTAACTTCCCTTGATATTTGGGCACGAGCTGTGATTGCCTGGAGACAAGTATACGTGTGACCGGAACATCATGTTTTGAGTCCATTCACAAAGATAACATAATATAGCTTCAATGTGGATGTATGTTCGTTTGATCTTAGAGTGATTACTTTTGGTCCATGTGATTTGAGAGTTTCATTGATGATCAAGTGAGTGGTATGATATTTTATGTAGTAAGGTTCATTGTCTGTGATGTAGCTGTTGTATACCGGAAGACTCCCATGCTGGAAAATAAAGGTCAAGAAAATTAAGATGTTTTTCCCATAAAATAATGGATTCCAGGTGTACATAAGAATTCTGAGTCTTGTAGAACACGGAGTCAAGTCAACCTCAGGAGAAGGAGGACGTGGATTTTATATTTTGGCTTGCCAAGTACGTTGTCAAAAATATATTTTTCAACTATTAAGGCTGAACGACATCTTCCAACGCCAAGTTTGCTCTAACCACAATTTATTATCCAAAAAGTTTGTAGACCATAATTACCACAAATTGTCAAGATCTATTAAACAGCTTTCCATCTACTATTAAGATCTGTTAATAAAATCCGTTTAAAGAAGAATAAAATAATAATTTTTCATGTAGTTGAAAAATGTTATTAACATAACTGGAAGAAATGGTGCCCGACAGCAAGGAAAATAGTCGGCAGAAAAAAACTCAATCAATCTACATCGAATTCAATTCCACTTACACAATCGACCTTCAATTCAATAAAACCAACCGTCCATGGAAATGTAAATTAATTGTCCTTAGGAAAGTGAATTTCATTTGTCAATAAAACCAACCGTCCATGACTGCATGGAAAATATTTGTAACCACGTAATAAAGTCTAGAGAGAGAAAAAGTTATGCCAAGTCAAAGATAAAAAGAATACAATCCTAATTACATACAAATATCTAACCTCAATATTGTAATATCCACTTATGTACTTACAATATTTTATAATTAAGGCTTTGGGTAATCTATGCTTATAAAGTAAAACATTATAGTTAAGGCTATATGTATCACAAGTTTATATTTTACAAGTGGAATATGTTTTTTTGAGTTTCGAATATATGAACAAGTCTCCTTACTTATAAGTGGACTCAGGCTTAGAGCCCACATATTTGAAAATTGAAACATTAGTAAACAGCTGGTGCCTTATTAAGATGGGTATTTTTTTTTTTTTTTTTTTTTTTTTTTTTTAGGTATTTGGAAGTGTTCAGGTCAGTTATTGGACACCCCAACTAATCCCTTAAGATCTTGAAGTTAAGGGTTAAATAAGTCTTCAGTGTTTACTCCCTATTAATAATTATAGAGATTCGAACTCAAAATCTTTTAAGTAATACATCCAAGAGTTTTAAACAAATCATCAAGCTAGCTAAACTAGCTAGAGGCAGTTTAAAACGGACAGTTGCAGAAAGAGTTGACAAATGTGCTAGCTAAACTAGCTAGAGGCAGTTTAAAACGGACAGTTGCAGAAAGAGTTGACAAATGTGCATAAAACAGCGGTAGAAAATAACCTTTGAAGTTATGGAAGCACTTCGGGACAAATAACAAAAATAATAATAACCCAAGGATCTCCCTTTGAACTAATAATATTACACATATGATATTGATGGGAAATGATTAATTAATTTGACAAGTGATTATGTCAGGTATAAGCCATCTAGAGAATTGATATATAATATGGCTCAAGTTCATAGTCCTCACCTTGTTTCTTTTACATGATACCATGTTTTCAAAATAGAGTCAAGAGTAGCATGGCTCAAATCTGATAGAATCATACTTTTATTATGAACCCTGGAAGGCTGGGATTTTGGATCAAGGGAAGTGGTCATTTTTGGAAGAGAAAACAGAAATTGAATACAATTAAGCCATTATGCTTATAACTAACATGACTTTCTTTGTCCGGCAGTACATAATATGAATTCATTAAGAGCTTTACGCTTGTATCTTGTAAAAGTTTCAGGACTGCTTTTCCATATGAATTGATTTATCCTCACAAGATTTAAAAAAGGGAGTGATTTGCAGTTACTTGGAGCTTTAAAAAGCTTACAACACTGTAAATATTAGACAAATAATCTTAAATTCTTAATCATCTGACATGGATGAGATTGATCGAGTAAACGCTACCCAGAAAAGCATGGATGGTATAGAAGATGTGAGCAGCAACATTGGTTGAAATCTGAACTGTAAAAGTTTTGCCACAAAGAAATGGAGGAATTTGATTGCCAAAGTGGTGACCCAGCAGTAACTGACTCTACTTCCTTCCTCCATATATTTCTGTAGTCCATGATTACATGCGCAAACAATAAGACTTACAAACAGACCAAACAGGGCATCGTAAATCATGGCCTTGTTCTTGTTGCTTGACTTTGATGCCTTTACCAATTGAAAAGCTCCTCTTTTTGGGATCTTTTTGTTTTCGTAAACTTTTCCTAGAATTTTGATGTTTGAGCGGTGTAAGACTGTAAATGTAAACTAATAAACTGTCGAGTTGAGCTTCTGCTTTTTCAAGGAACTCACAGGATTTCTTATATACAAAAATGTAAAACGAGTGAATGGAACTAGTCCTGCAACAAGAAGGTAGAAATTGATGGTGGGAAGCTTCTTGGTCGGTAAGTGGGTCAAAGTCAAGAACAGATTTTGAACATGGGCCTTGAAGTGGAATTAATTTTTTTTATTCTGATTTCAGGGTTTGATTGATGATTAAGTTGTTGAATGTGATGGAGCTTTTGTATATCAGAAGACTTGCTTGCTCGCTGGGAGTTAATAAATGAAAATAAAGTAGTGATATTTGTAAAATAATGTATTTGATCCCCAAGGAGATGGAAATGGGATGGCTTATTCGAGTCTTGGGGAGCACGAAGGCAACCTCAATCAAGCAGAATGGCATTAGTATTAAACTGGCAGCTTGCTGAGCACGCGGAGAACTCTCTTGTTGTTAATGATTTTGAATTTTTGGATGTAATTTATTGGGTCGATTATAGAATGAATTTTTTGCCCCAGCTTTCTCATTCATCCTCAGGTCTCTATAAATCAGAATGAAAAGCCCGGTGGAAGCACAAGGGAAGAGTAGAAAGGGGGAAGAATTCTAGTGATAGTTCTCACTGAAACTGGTTTATCTAACTTACAGTGTTTTAGTGCTTTCTTTGTTCTATTAGTTGGATTGAATCCTCTAAGAATGATATTCCAAGTGATAGAAATCCCCGGAGTTTTGACAAGAAATGAATCTGTACAAGATGTATCTAATTTATTCAAGATAAGGGAAATAGACTGAGCTAATGGAATGGAATTGTGTAATTGCCATTGCGTAGTACATATAACAAATTGACCCTTTTTATTCTAGCTTGGATCATGGAGTCTCTGGCTGAAGAAACTAAACAATGCTTATAATAAGAATTACATTCCAAAACTTTCTCAAACAAAACACCCATCTCTCACTGAGCATCTTCCAAATCAATTTAGCAATTATTGATACAATCGCCATGACTATGTTATAGTTACTCAGTATTCACGAACTGCTCATCAACACTTTCAAAGCATTAGAGAAACTAGTATTCGAAGAATAAGATTTAGCAGTTTTCACTACGACCCTAAGCGGGCCAACGCGGCTTGAGCGGCGGTCGAACTCGGTTCCGCCTTCAAAGCCGCTTCATAAGCCATCTTAGCCTCTTCACCCAGCTTCTTAGCCTCGTAGCACTCTCCCAACAAACAAAACACTCTCACGCCGTCACAACCCAGCCTCACGGCTTCATTCAGATCCTCAATTGCCGGGTCAACTCGACCTCGCCGGCTCATCGCAACTTTCACCTCCGCTCTCTTGAATAGTGCATCACCCTTCTCTCCGTCGGTCAAACTT